AAAGGCAGTTAAACACATTATTTTCACACTCTTTGTCCAAAATAAGTGTTATCTAAAGAAAATAATTGAAATGAGCATAACATATGATCCCGCCGATATTGAATCTGTAAAAGAACAGTTACTTATTCACGATGACGCTAATCATCATGATGAACTACAAAATCCAGAAAAATCCATAGCATCTTACATAATACCAAAAGACTCATCATTATTAGAAATCTCATCAGTAGAATCTAGTGAGTAAAAATAGCTTTGTTGTTTTTATGTTCTATTTTTATACATTTTTCTCTACAAGAAACTAAAACAACAGTGTTATCAACGAAGGATCATGAACTACGAGGGATTATTACGCGAGAAGACAAAAGCTATCATGAGTGCTGTCGAGTGTGGAATTTATATACATCTAGAGCTCTCAATCCATTCGCCATAATATACTGTAGCAACACTGTGGACGTTCAACATGCACTTACCTACGTTCGACTCAACCACAGGCCATTTACGATCCGTTGTGGTGGTCATTCATTAATGTCATTTTGCCTGCCAGAAACAAACGAAGGCTGTGTTATTGATGTTGCTAACATCAATCATAAAATGATCCTTAACAATGGTAGGGTCAGTTTTGGACCAGGTAACCGATTGATCGAAGTATATAAGGAACTGTATGATCATGGTTACATGTTTCCGGCAGGATCTTGTCCTACTGTTGCGATTGGTGGTTTAACGCTGGGCGGTGGTATTGGATTTTTGTCCAGAAAATATGGATTGACGTGTGATCTGTTATATGAATTAGAAATTGTACTAGCAGACGGATCCGTGATCACGTCGAACGATAGTAATGAATACAGTGATCTTTTTTGGGCTCATAAGGGTGCCGGGATGGGGAGTTTTGGCGTAATCACATCATTGACTTTTAATGTTCCCAAACTGCTCAGCAAGCTTATTGTATTCAAAATTGAGTGGAGAAACGGATATCAAAGTTTTCATGAAGTGTGTGATTTCTGGCAGAAAACTATGCCGAATGCTGTTGATGACATAAGTTTAGAGTTGATTCTAACCGGTAGTTCCGTCCTTGTAACGGGAGTGTTTCTGGGCATTATGGATGAATTACTGAAACTATTGAAACCTATGACCAATATTGGAGTTAATGATCTTAGCATGCAAGAGGGAACCTTCATGGACGCTGTGCTTTATTTTGCACCAGCAAACAGCATTGAGGAAGCCATGAGCGAGATTGGCAAGCCGTCCGACGTTACTATGAGGTGCAAGTCGTTTGTTACTAAAAAACTGTTTTCAGAACAAGCCATGGGTGTAATAATTAAGTTTATGGTTGATGAATATCCTAAGTGCGCTAGAAATGCACGTCTGCAACTATTTGCGTATGGTGGAGCGATTCGCAAGATCCACCCCTGTGATACGGCATTTCATCATCGGCAAGCTCTATTTAGCGGACAGTTTCTGATTTGGTGGCTCGGGCAAGAGCATGAGGAACAATGCTTAAGTTGGATTAAGCACTTTCATGATGAGATGAGGCCTCACGTGGGTCCTTATGCGTACGCTAATTATGGTGATAGTGATTTAATTAGTTACGGACAGGCATACTACGGGGATAATTGGCCTAGATTGGCTGAGATCAAGAGACAACATGACCCAGAAAACTTCTTCGATTTCAAACAAAGCGTGAAAATAGTAGTGTAGCAGAAAATATTCTAAAACATAAAGCCAGTATGCTGATGAACGATGTATATTTTAAAGTAACATACGCAAATAAAAACATAATGAAACTGATCAGATGTTGTACAAATAGAACTTTCATTCTAACGGAATTAAAGGAGGAGGGCGGATAAGCCCGTTGTCTAAAATTTTCGGGATTTTTGCAGTGGAATCACGTCAGGGGGTGCTTAGGAATATTTCCTGACACTTAGTTTCGCGACAGCTCTCAGTCGGAGTTTTGAGACCTGCAGTTCCCTACAGGGTTTCTTGAACTCTTACATTTTCTTACCAAGATCTTGAATCAAGACCTTACTGAAAAAACTCAAGAAGTCAAGATCTTGGTTACAAAAAGTTTCATGGGGGTGATTGATATTTCTAGGTAGCCCAACTAGAAGATCCAGACTCCACAATGTTGTTTGCTTCTCTTGAGGATGTGGGTGAAACAACGGTATAAGACTGAAACACGACCAGTTATACATAGAGAAAAACTGCTAGCATCATGGATAATAAATGGGTCCCTTTGCATCACACAAGTTAGCCCAAAGTCTAGTTTCTTGCTTCATAGCCAAGGACGTGGACTAACAAATTATCTGTGTACCGACACAAAAAGAAAATCACGATAAACCTGTGCTATGAGAAACATACGACAGACCAGTCTTTAACCCCATGCATTCTCAAGAGTCTCATGGTGTTGCATGATTGACAGAGAAAAGTGTGAGGATAAGTCAAAATTACTTCTAGAAAACTATATTGAATGCAATAAGGACAAGTTTACGGTTGAAATGGAACAAAGATACTTATTTCGTGTTACTGTCCTATTCCATGAATATCCTACGTCAATAAAATGCTTAATGAATCTTCAAGCGACTGTTTCCACTAAAATACAGCTGCATGAGGCCATCTCTTCTGACTTATTCACGTCCGAGAATAAATGGTGGAAGTCACCATATGGACATGAATGGGTAGATTCAAACTTCAAAACTCAAGAAACGATTCTGAAAGAAGAAAAAAATCCTATTACGAACGATGCCATCTATTAATATAATAACCGAACTAAACTCTTTCTCGAAGCTGCGAGCTTGGTGTTCTTTTGCCAGTAGAAACGATCCACATGAGCCTCAACGCATTTGACGAATATTCAATAGGACTAATTGGGAGAAACGACGAATTTACTCTGTAAGAAATCAGAGCTGGAATCGAACCGGTCTGGTACCAGTTCCAACTGGCAAATTTCGTATCATTTTTTCAGATTTTTCTGCCTTAAAAAGTATTTGAATCGAGATCATGGTTCTAGATAGTACACTGTGAGTACTATTCACTGTCTTGAAAAAATATACCAGGAAGTAAGAGTACACTAAAGCTCAAAACTTGGATATATAGGTTTTCACACATGCTCTACACAATGGTTTGAAAAAAATCGGAGATGGTCATTGAGTATGCTTCTGTGGTAAGCAAGCGTTTTTCTCCTTCTATGACTCATAGAAGGAGAGGAGTGCTGATATACCGACTCGACTTTGAGCTGATAAAATTTTCTAATGGATATAGTTGCACAAAGCACGCAAATTAGCACGCTTTACATTCGTAATAGCTGTTCTCTACAGATAATTTCTTCATTGTATACCAAAGTCCATGTCACATTAATCAAGGAAGTCTTGACTTTCAGAAACAAAAGGTCATGCAAATATTTGTGTCAACTGATGAACGAAGTACGCTCGCATGATC